AGTAGTGGAAAACTACTCGTTTCTCCCCTCTATTATTTTCAAAAGAAGCTATCTGGACGTTCAGATTCTACCCATTGGGTATAAGGTAAAAACTTACCCCTAAGATCATCAAGCAGCCGTGATCGTATAGTGGTCAGTACTCGGCGTGTGGTCGCAGCACACCCGGTTCGAATCCGGGTCACGGCAGCATCTGCGAGTTGCCAGTCCCCTTCAGCTGGACTTTTAACAGTTGGTAACACGGCCTCTCGTATGAAATGCAGTTACTCTTGGATTCTGCCAAGTTGTCATACAGGGCTAGTGGCGCAATGGATAACGCGTCTGACTACGAATCAGGAGATTCCAGGTTCGACTCCCTGGCTAGCTCGGAACCTTCCTTCAACTTCTTTGGAGTGCTCAGGAAATTTCTACTTGCAAATCGTTTTTCTTTGAAAAAACAGATTGTGGGAAGAACGGAATCGCAGTAGTGGAAAACTACTCGTTACTCACCTCATTTATTTACAAAAGAGGTAATCTTGACGTTCAGATCTACCCATGTGGTATAGGTAAAAAATGTACACTAAGATCATCAAGCAGCCGTGATCGTATAGTGGTCAGTACTCTGCGTTGTGGTCGCAGCAACCCCGGTTCGAATCCGGGTCACGGCAGCATCTGCGAGGTGCCAGTCCCTTCAGCTGGACTTTTAACAGTTGGTAACAACGCCCTCTCGTATGAAATGCAGTTACTCTTGGATTCTGCCAAGTTGTCATACAGGGCTAGTGGCGCAATGGATAACGCGTCTGACTACGAATCAGGAGATTCCAGGTTCGACTCAAGCACTCATCAAGCAGCCGTGATCGTATAGTGGTTAGTACTCTGCGTTGTGGTCGCAGCAACCCCGGTTCGAATCCGGTTCACGGCAGCATCTGCGAGTTGCCAGTCCCTTCAGCTGGACTTTTAACAGTTGGTAACAACGCCCTCTCGTATGAAATGCAGTTACTCTTGGATTCTGCCAAGTTCTCATACAGGGCTAGTGGCGCAATGGATAACGCGTCTGACTACGAATCAGGAGATTCCAGGTTCGACTCCTGGCTAGCTCGGAACCTTCCTTCAACTTCTTTGGAGTGCTCAGGAAATTTCTACTTGCAAATCGTTTTTCTTTGAAAAAACTGATTGTGAGAAGAATGCAATCGCAGTAGTGAAAACTACTCGTTACTCACCTCATTTATTTACAAAAGAGGTAAGTTTGACGTTCAGATCTACCCATGTGGTATAGATAAAAAACTTACCCTAAGATCATCAAGCAGCCGTGATCGTATAGTGGTCAGTACTCTGCGTTGTGGTCGCAGCAACCCCGGTTCGAATCCGGGTCACGGCAGCATCTGCGAGTTGCCAGTCCCTTCAGCTAGACTTTTAACAGTTGGTAACAACGCCCTCTCGTATGAAATGCAGTTACTCTTGGATTCTGCCAAGTTGTCATACAGGGCTAGTGGCGCAATGGATAACGCGTCTGACTACGAATCAGGAGATTCCAGGTTCGACTCCTGGCTAGCTCGGAGCTTCCTTCAACTTCTCGAAAAATTGTTTTCTTTGAAAAAACAGATTGTGGGAAGAACGGAATCGCAGTAGTGGAAAACTACTCGTTACTCACCTCATTTATTTACAAAAGAGGTAATCTTGACGTTCAGATCTACCCATGTGGTATAGGTAAAAAATTGACACTAAACTCATCAAGCAGCCGTGATCGTATAGTGGTTAGTACTCTGCGTTGTGGTCGCCGCAACCCCGGTTCGAATCCGGGTCACGGCAGCATCTGCGAGTTGCCAGTCCCTTCAGCTGGACTTTTAACAGTTGGTAACAACGCCCTCTCGTATGAAATGCAGTTACTCTTGGATTCTGCCAAGTTGTCATACAGGGCTAGTGGCGCAATGGATAACGCGTCTGACTACGAATCAGGAGATTCCAGGTTCGACTCCTGGATACATCGAGCACCCCCCGATCGTATAGTGGTTAGTTACTCT